TTTTTTTTTTTTTTTTCTTTTTTTTTTTTTTTTTTCCTTTTTTTTTTTTTTTTTTTTTTTGTTAGTTACATTAACGTTGGTGCTCTGCTGGAATACATTTACTCTACTACCGCGGGCGGATATCTTCTTTTTTTTCCCTCCCCCCTTTGGAATACTCTGCAAATTTGCTTGACGATTATGGCAAATCTTTTTTTTTTATTTTCGCCCACGGCTAAATTATTCACGTTATTCTGGCAGAATATCCGATCTTATCAGATGCTTCTCTCAAGTCACGGGATGATGTTAGGTTTGTCACTTTTTGCTTTTAAAATTTTATCGGATCTTTCCGTTCTTTCAATCTTGTCCATACTGATGCATTGATAAGAAATACCCTTGAGGGAGGAACATCTCTGTTTTTTTTTTAAGTGTACAATAAAAAAATGCGTGACAACGATCTACCAACGTCTCTTACTAACAGCAACCAAGAGATTGAACTTAGTATGCCATTTTCAGCATGAACTAGTCATTTGTATAAGTAGCAACGTGCTCTATCTCCGTCTGTTAAAAAAAAATAAAGATATACAAGAATACAAAATAATGGGAAAATTTTAAAAAAGTATACCCATCAACAGCAAAGACTCTACGGGGATGTTTCATCCTCTCTGAGATACGAGTCGGTAGTACGGTGAGTTTAGCTAAAAAAAAAAAAGGGGGGGGGAAAAAATACAAAAAAAAAAGCGTCACAAAATTAACGGGGGGAAACGGCAAGCGCCACGCGGGAGACAATTAAAAAGTAACGAGAGTGTTCGTCGACGCTAATATTTTATGGGTCCAATGGTTATTCCTAGTTCTCTTCTGAATTGCATTTTTACGAGGTCGGATTACACCCCGGGACGAACGCCCCACGGCTTTTGCACGTCCTTTACAATATAGCACCTTTACAATGAGGACCGTGCCTCGTTCTTATATATATCATTTTTTTTCTTTCTTTCAATCCTAATTTCTTTCAGCCCCCCTCTCTAACACTTTTTGTCGACTCCCTTAACACTCTCACTTTTCTCCCTATCATTAGTTTCCCTTTTTCACGCTACGCAGCGCGATCATAGTATTTGCCCGCTAAACGATACGTAAATACGATGTAGCTTTTGCACCATCCAATTCCTCTTCCTCCCTTCCCTCCCCTTCGGCCCCAACTCTCTCGTGCCCTCTACGTGCGCCCATAGCGCCTACTACACCCCCGCGTACTCTTTATCCTAGGATCGATAAGCCGCCTGGTTCTTTCGCGAGTAACTTCGGAATTACGTTGTTAACTGGAGCCAGAGGGCTCGTTTTGCTAAAAGAAACGTGACGTAAAAAGCGCGATCGTCAAAAAGAGAACAAGGGACATTCAGGCGCGGTGCCGCGCGCACGTTTCGTCACGAGATAACGGCAAGGGGAGGGGAGCACGTTGCTATAGGGATACATAGGACGACCAGCCCTTTTGGCATGCTGTGTGTTGTATGGCCGGTTGATCGTTTCCCGATAAAGTTTCAAACTCGAATGCAGATGATGACGGGGTTGGGGTGTCTGTTGCAGTACGGCAGTCCCGGCTCGGGGTGGCGACATCTTAATGCGATGTGGCGTTCGCCTAGGTATTATATACATTAAATACTATATATACTATACTGTACCGTATAATACCATACTATACTTTATTCTATACAACTCTACGTATCAGATATTATACGTCTCGATAACTCCCTTGCTATACGGTCACTCTTTTTATTGTGGCCAGGTTATATGGAGGATGGATGTTTTCTTTGTCTTTTTTTTTTTTTTTTTTCATATACAATATCCCTTTCTCACTGTGGTCGCTAGGCAGGAAATAACGAAAAGACTGTACGAGTATATCCGTAAGGGATGCTCATGCGTATTTTATTAGCAAACTGATGCATCCTCCTGAATTATTGAGGAGGGTCCACGTCAGGATGGGATCAGGAAGATAATAACTGATAAGGGATTTTCTTTTTTTTTTTTTCTAAATCATATGAAATCACTTGACAATCGTAATTTCGAGTCAGCCCTTTTGACTTTCTTGAACCGGTAAGCCGGATCGTTCTGAAATACCGACTTCTAACACGACAACGAACCGTATCTCAGATAGTAGTGTTTATCAGTTAAAAGGTAAATTAAATGGCTGGCTGACACACGATGTCTTTGCCTACCGGCTATTACATTCCTGTATCTACCGCAGTTTTTCAACTCCAAACGTACCGCCTGAACGTGGCTTTAACCCAAGAGACAAATTGACGGCTCACGCAGTGCGTTTGGCTCGAATAACTTGGTACCGACAGGCGTCCACAGAGAAGACATCCGTCCTGCATGTAACGTGGTACGGTCGGGCTCCGTCGTTGTAGCGAGCGCGTTAATAATTTCTTCGTGGTTTTGCATCGGAGAGCCGAGCTGCGGATAACGAAAGGAATGATAAATGAAGCGCTCGCGCAACTGGAAGTCGACCATACCAGGAGCAGTGCCTTTCAAAATTTTCACAGTAATCTCACGAGCATTACGTTCCTCTAACGACTCACCCTGTCTGCTTCCCACGCGATCTACGTGGTGTCCATTTTGCACTTTGTGCCGCGTTACCATACACACCCCTGTGCGTTGCGTTACATTCCGTTGCGTTGCGTCACGTCTGCTCATTACGGTACTTCGGCATGCCTGACTTTTGCGCTTTGCACATATTTACCTGGCGAGATGTGTTTCGGCATGCGACAAGGTGGTTTGCCGTAGGATATTCTCACGTGGGATCATTAGCAGTATCGTCGTTACGCTTTACAGAGTCATAGTACAATTTTTATGCTGTTTGGGGAGTCGACGTTGTTTCCTCTTATCGATGCGCTGTGTCATCACGCGTTTTGATTTTTTTTGTGTTCATTTTTTATTCGATTTTTTTTTCTGACTGTCCTACCTCAATATTCTCACCGTTGACGTAACATTGTACTATCAAGGGTGTGCGATGACGTCATATCAGCGTGGAGAGCGATAGAGTAGGCGACAAGAGCTTTTTCAAGCTCTGATCGTAACCGACGTATTGGCATGGGGTTGTTGGAAACAAATTTGGATTAACCGATTGGAAGACAAGTTAAATGAAAATCAGAGATGGGGAATGTATGTAAAAAAAATATATATATATTCGAGAATTTTAATAAAAACTAAATCCACCGTTGAATAGAAATCTGAATTGGCAATTACGATGGTATTATTTTTTGTTGTGCTTCACAATTTTATCAATTAATTTCATTTTATCATTTCGAACAGCTCCACTCTCGGTGACGTACGTAATGAAACGTTTTTTTTTTTTTTTTTAATTAAATAATTCCCTACTTTGCTTTCCTCCCAACCCTCTTCTCCGTTAGATCTATAAAACTCGTTGAATTCGGGCGAATTAAAAGTTCGCCACTTCCATACGCAACAATCGCGTTCATTCTCATTTTACCCGTGGGCTAAATTATTTCTGCTGCATGCACGTGCATTTATCCTGTGTCATCCGTTTGTACAGCTCACTTGATTACACAGCGTAACCATGACTGTATACTATATCACCTACCATGCGGAAAGTCTGTTTAACGAGTCCTGCGTGTCTCGAAGTTCACGACCCTTCCGATTCCCAGATTGTCCAGGAATATAGCGGCCACTTAGCCACATGCAAATCGGATCATGCAAGCGCCACGTGTAACCTAATCTAGCGGCACGCTTGGTGGGTCTAACCGATAATATAAAGAAAAACGGGCGAAAAAATAGAAGAGAGAGGAAAAAAAAAGGAAGAAAGTCATTCTGAGATAAGAGCTCCCAGGGAGCTCGTGCTTCGCAGTGCCTTGGGTTTAACCTCGTTATTCCGGCCAGCCGGAAAATTCATGAAAATCACTTGGTCGGGACCGGAAACTCGTAAAAGTCCAACCCCTTTCCTAGGAATCGGATTATTGCAAGGCAGGAAGTCGCCTCGCTACATTAGCGACTCTTTGGGTTTTTTTTCTTCTTTCTTTTCCTTAATTCCCTCCGTCTTGTCGACAAGTGCCACTTGGGTCACTGGGTACCGGAACGGCTGATTATTTCAAGCGTTAATCGCGGCTTAAAGTCAATTCGCCAAAATCGCTCGATGTCGTCTCATCTGTCGTGAATCCCGTTAGTCTGATTATACCGGTTAGATTGATTAGACTGGCGAGGGGCGATTTCGAAGCTATGACAAATCGTGGCCGCCAGTGCGTTTGTCCGTCCGTATAGTTTGCCCCAGTACCTACTGTTCGGCTCTCTCTATACTGTCCTGTAGTTTGCAAATGAGGCTATTTGTATTCAACGCCGTCGCCGATTCTCCCTTTCTCGTGAGAAACAACCCCTCTCGCGTCTCCTCCACCTTTGCTTTGTGCTCAAATTCCACCGCGAAATTGAAAGTATATGGAAATTTGAAGGGGTTTCTCCGTGTAGAGAGCCGTGCGCTGCGTCGAGTTTTCACTAAGAATATTATGAGGGCAGGGAAACACGGTGAACCCCCTTACCACCCTTGTTTTGGGATTTCTTTTTTCTGCCTTTCTTTCTCTACTCTCTTTCCTCGCTTTTTTTTTATCTCATTTACTCGCGATGCGTAATATTGCTGTGAAATAATTTCTTCTTTATTCTTCATCTATGGAAATACTACCAAGTGGCAGGTTGAATGTGCTTTGTGTACAAAATTTTTTTGTTCAGCAAAAAAATATTATACGTTACAGCTTCCATGGATGACATTTTTTTAATCTCTTCTTGGGTGTTTGTATGGGGG